TATAACCCATGTCTGCAGTTATGATACTAATTGCGATTTAGTCATCTTTTATCAATTCTATCAGGTAAGGAAGAAAAATGAAGGAAAGAAAGTAAAATAAAGAGAAAGTAATTTTCAGAGTGGGATGCTGAGAGGAAGAGTCCCGAGCATGGTTTTCCATCTGAGGTTTTTGTGATTTTCCTCTGCATGAAGCAAATGTGGGTTAGTTCCATCAAAAAGTCCTCCATGAAGGCAAATTTCTCCCAATCCAGGAGTTCCCTTGTCTTCTGGATTGGGTTCAAAATTATGAGACTACGGAGCAGAAGATTAGCATTCGTAAGTAGTATTCGACTCTTCAACGACGGTTATAGAGTAAAATAATTGATCCAGGAGTCCCCTTGTCTTCTAGGTTGGTTTCAAAATAACAAGGCTACGGAATTGTATATAGGTAATCGTAAATCGAAAAATAGGTCAGCTGTTTAACAACGGTTATAAAATAAAATAAAATATAACCCATGTCTACAGTTATGATACTAAATGCGATTTAGTCATCTTTTATCAGGTAAAGAAGAAAAATGGAAGAAAGAAAGAAAAAAGAAAGTAATTTTGAGAGTGGGATGGTGAAAGGAAGTGCCCCGAGGAACAATCATAAAAGAGGAAGCTCTTTAGAATCTCTCAGACGTGTAATTGGACTCTTTTCGAACATTTTCACTCATAGAATGTCACAAAATGAATGGATTCCCCAAGGACGCTACAATGATATTTATTTATTCCCAATTTTCCTTTTTATGATTCGTCTATCAAATATTTTATTAGAAAAAAAGGCACTTTTTTTTTAAATCTGATATTCAGTTTCATTTTTACTGAAAATTATCGATTTAAAAAAAGCATTAAGGCGAAAACAATTAGCAAAAACTTTAATAATTTATTGAATTTAAATTGCACTGAATAGCTTTAATTCAATCCTCAAAATTACGAATTTTTTTTTTGTTAAAACAAAAAATAAACGAAAAACGATTTATAAACGATTTTAAAATAAACGAAATACAAATCAAAGCGAAATAAAGAAATAGAAAAAGAAAAAATATTTTTAAAAAAAATAATAAAAAATATTATGATAATATAATTTAGAGTTAAAATTTTTTTTAAAAAAACGGGAAGATATAGTTTTGTCCTCAACTCACACGATTATATCTGCAAAATAGTGCTTCCCAATGTTGTATTAATATAGCTGAAGCAAAACATATCAATACAATAGTGTGAGGAACAACAGAAAAGGAAAGAAAGAAACCGATTCTAAAATAAAACAAATCAAGCAAACTACATCAATCAGAAACAGGAACACATAAGGAGCTTTCTTACTAAAGTTCAGAACAGCTTTTGGTTTGCTGTTACTGTGGATTAACCCATAGAGTTGAAATACTGGGAATACTGGTTGAAATATTTCAACTCTATGGATTAACCCGAAGCTGGATTTGCGCAAGGAAATTATATATAATACTGCTTCATATAATAATTATATATATAATATGTATAATATTATATATAATATCACTACACTTTCTTTTAATTCTATTTACTTGATTAAAAATAATATTTAAATAACTGTTTTTAAAAATATAAGAATTCCGTGTAATTCGTTTATTTACGTTAAACTTAAAATCATTCCTTTCATTGTAATATGTCAACAATGCAGATAATTTTTTCTTTTTTAATACTTATATCCATAATTCCGACTTATATCCTAAGCACTTTTATCCAAAAAGTTAAAATTAAAAATATAATCCTGATTACGAGGCAAGATTGTTTCCTCGGGGTTAATATTATTTAACTAATTTTAAATTATATAATTATCTAATTTTAGAAATTGAAAATAATTAAACCATCAATAAATCTGAAAACAATTTTGATACTTAAAGTTTAATTTTTTGCATAACAGTGTAAAAAAGTAAGTTTAAGAAAACACGAGATCCTTTTGTTATTCCATTCATTTGAATAAAAAAAGGCGGTTTTTTTTATAAAGATAATTATTAAAGAGACATATACTGATTAGAATTTGTCATTAATCAAATTTGCAATTAATGATAACATAAGTATGTAACGCAATTTTAAAAAAACATAATGTAAACACACTATTCTACAATAATGAAACTATAATTCTTTGACATTTTTTAAACTTCTCATGGAATACTTGGAAGATTATTTTGTAATTTTAGAAGTGTTTAGATTTAGCTATTTCTTTTACTTCATAATACAGTTTAAAACTTTCATAGAACAGTAAAAAATGACGAAAGAAATTTTTGCCAGAAAATACATATGCCAGAAAATACATCAAAAAGCTAAAAACTTGCATCAGTTACTTTGGTTGTTTTTTGAAATAAAAGTATAATTTTTTGGTAACCTAACTGAATTACTTATGGAGCTATGGGCATTTTTATAAAAAACTAATATTCTCTGTTTTTGTTATAGCTTTATAAGCTTGAAAGCTACTATGACTAAACTGGAGGAAAAGTGTATCGCAATATTTGAGAGAAAGATTTTGCTAAGTATACTTGGTGGTGTAAATTAAAACAATAACTGGAAAATGAGATTTAACTTTGAACTTTACAAAATTTATAGACACAACCCGATATTATTAAATACATAAAAATAAATGGAAGGGAATGGATGGCCCACTTGATTCGAATGAGTGATGACAATACAATAAAAAAAACTGCTTTTTAAACCCACAGGAACAAGAAAGCGGGAAAGGCCGCGTTTGAGATGGACTGACTTGGTGGAGACTGATTTTCTTGCAATTAATAAAAGGAATTGGAGATAAAAGATAAATCTGAAGTCACTATGGATAAATCTTCAGAGGAAGGCATTGGCCCACATTGGGCAGTCTGGCCAACTATGAGGATAATGCTTTATAAATATTCAAAAAAATTAAACGAAATTTTCGGAGCAATCTTTAATTAATTAAAAAATAAATATTTCAAAATTTTTAAAAAAAATATTAATAATTGCAAAAAAATATACGCATTTAAAGTATTTCGTTCGTACTGCGTATGTGCGGAAGAAATTTTAAAAATTTCATAATTTTGAAGTGAGTGTGAAAAATTGCGATTTGCTAATCTTCAAAATTTAAAAAGTTGCTAGCAATTTTTCCGAAAGAAAACTCTGAATAATAAGAGGCCTTTCGCAATTTATATTTTGTATCATAAGGTAAAGTTTAAAAACGAATGATAATAATAATCGTCCGTGCACGAAATGTGATAGTATTAGGATAGAAAACAGGGGAATGAAAACATACTTTTATGAGAAATAATTCGCCACAATACCGGGGTCATTTTTAATAAATCTTGTTTACGGACACTTATTCTTAAGTATAATCATTTATCATTAAAATTTAGTATCACGCGAGGAAATTAAATTTGTAGAAAACCCCTTATTATTCAGACCTTACAACAAAACGAGAACAAAAACTTAAAATTTTCAAGATACTGAAATCGGACCTTTTTTCATTAGTTACTAGATACGATTCCTTATAAAATTATGAGTCGAATATTTTAAGTATTCTACTTAATTAGTATGAAACATATTTACATATTTCAACTTTAAAAGTATGAAAGAACTATTTGTTTATATGCTTATATCATACGCAATTTAAAAAATTATAGAATGATAATTTTGTCAATGATAAAAAATAGCACGAAAATTATGTTGAAAATTTAAAGTTACAGCAAAGGAGTAAAACAAAAATTATTTTGTTTTTATAAAAAAAGTACATATCTCCATAAATGTTTAATTTTACGAATTTGTTTGCAGTTATTGGAAATTACGACCAAAGTTATAGATGCATGTTATAAGCATATTGCTATATTTTACAGCACAGGGTGTTCAAAAATACTTGTTTTCGAACGAAATTTACTGCCGGTTTCTCAAACCTCTGAAATCTTTAAAATTTATTGATTAGTGTAAGAAATCGCTTAACCTACAGTCTCTGGCCAAATTATTAGACGTACTATAAGATTCTATGTAAAATTATAATAATCAGGTGATACTATACAGCTTTATTGTTTTTAGGGCGCTGAAACCGGTTTGCACTTGTTTACGTTCGTGTATCAATTGGTTAACATTGTAACGCAATACGTTAAAAATAAATACAAATAGGAAGTATATAAAAAATCTCCTGAATTAAAATCCATTACATGTATGTTTAAATATAAAAGCATTGCATTGAAACTCGTGTAAAAACATGTCATTAATAAAGAAACATCAGTGCGTCTACTAATTTGGTCCAGTTATTATAATATGCTTTTATAATACCTGATATAATAAATATTCTATATTTATATAATATATCGTCTAATTTATCCAAGAGTGGAATTTATATTATATATCGTCTAATTTAACCAATTGATACACGAACGTAAACAAGTACAAACCGGTTTCAGTAACGTAAAAACAATAAAGCTGTATGGTATTACCTGATAATTAGGATTTTGCATAGAATCTTATAGTGCATCTAGTAATTTGCCAGGTATTGTAGACCCATCTGAAGTTAAAAAATAATCCTCGAAATACTTCTTAAAAAATGTTTTAAAAAAATGAAAGCGATTCTTTCATACTGAAGGGTAGGTACTGTATCAAATTAGTCTTTTTGTCTAATGAAAATTATGATTGTTCTGGCACATTGCTCATTTAAATCGAACGTTAATAAAGCAATTTACAAATGAGTAGCCCATATTTTGGAATATTCCCCAGAGAACTTCTTCCCATGCAAACAATCGTCGAGTAAAAATGTTTACACACACATAAGGGACTTGTTTCCATTCACAAAGGGCAATTCTTCCCTTTAGTGACGAATACAAACGACTGTCGTATGTGACAATTTGCACCATAAAATAAGATGAAGACATAAAACACCTTTTTTCTTCTTCTTTCTTCTCCTTATTATCTTAAATGAAGGTCGGACAGGTAGAAGAAAAGCATAAACTATGGATGTCCTCTTTTTATGCCTCTTTATTATATGCTTATAAATGGCAGGTTTAACTTAAAATGGGGGTCCCGAATAAATTTTATTCGTTCTGGTTTTTAAGTTCGCCTTAGTATATAAAGCTACCGAATACTTGAAATGGAATACACACTCTCAGCAGTCGAAAAACAACAACGTTGAAAATGGAATTGGTGAGTAACATTACAAACTTATTTCGTTCTATAGGTACCTGAATCCATAAGTACCCGAAATTGTACATATTTTTTTTATATCTTACTCTAACTGAATTCCCATTCTTCGCAATAGAGACGAATTTTATTTTATAATAGTCATTAAACAGCCTATCCATTTTTGGGTTTACTACTACCAATGTTCGACTCTGTAGCCTTGTATTTTTGAGCCTAATCCAGAAGACAAGGGAACCCCTGGTAGAAATCCCAGTGGCACAATCGCAGCGACATTGTCGCAGAGTTCTTGCAGAAAGATATTTATTTTGACAAGCAAAAAAAATTACTTTTCTTTTCTACAGAAATTTTCACGTAATATTTAATTCGTGCATTGAGATAATCGCTTTTTGACAAGCTCAGTTTAAGCCGATAGTATCGTAAATCGACGGGATGCTTTGATTGTATTTTCGGCAGTTTACTGACATTGATTTTCATGTGGGGTTTTAAATATCACGTTATACTTCAAACAATATGGGAAATTCGAATCGCGCATTTGAGTATTTAATTTTTAAGGCAATAATTCTATCGAATTTTTAGCAGTTATTGCTATTCATTTCTCCATAGTTTAAAGTCCGATATTTTTTATGCGATACTATTTATTGCAACAACCTAATCTCGAAACGAAACTCGCATTTGAGGAGTCCGATTTCGACGTCGATCGTTTTTTCATCAATTACTACTACAGATTTCATGATTTTTACTTCTTTTTTATTGTGATGATCATTTACAAAATGCGAAGAAGGAAATAATTTGTGCTTTCCCACTCCCCTAACAAAATGCAAGAATATCACCCATAATATTAGAATAAAAAATTATTACATGCTCAATTGAAAAAATATATACTATGGCTTTTTTTCGTAAACACAGCGCTTTTGTTATTTTAAATTAGTAACATATATATTTATTATTATTAAAAGCATCTTCCAGAGAAATATTAGTGCTAGAGTTTTGTCGCTGATAGCTCGAAAGAATTCTGCCACAGTGGTAGAAATTTCCCTTCGTGGAGGACTTCTTGATAGAATTAATCCGCATTTGCTTTACGTGGAGATGAAAACCATGAAAACCTCTCACGGTTAGCCTAATGGTTTAACTGTAACCCATGATCTGTCTACCACTGAGGATATTTTTCGCCAGCACTGTGGTCGATGCAAGCCGGGTGCGGAAATCGCATCGACCTGCTATCGCTGGAATTTAAACCCGGTTCACCTCATTGGAAGGCAAACGTTCTATCCCCTGAGCCATCACGGCTCGTATTGGAGATAAAATCAATAAATCAGTATAAAGCATATACCGAAATATTTAAGAAAAAAATAATAATTTCATTAACGCCTTTTTTTTGGCGACTTTTACACCATAAGATAAACGAAAACACTCTTATGAAAGTCAATTTTTTAAATAAACAATCATACTTCAGCCATTTGACATCGAAAATCATGCATTAGAGGCGAGAAACGTATTTTTTAATTCCAATTACTTAACATTATTTAGATAGATAGAAACATTTTTAATAGCATAGCTATAAATAAACAGATAATTTTTCTGTTTGAAACAAACAGAGAGTTTCAGATAGCTTTAGATACTAATTCAGTTTAATCACCTCCAAAAGCCATCCACGTTGATTTCACTTGTGCTCAAACGATATTATCAAAGACAAACGATTATTAAAGAAATTATACAATAAACTCTTGCGCAACTAGTTCTTTATTAAATAGAGCTGTTATTTACCAATCAAAGATGTTATCTTCGAAATAATTTTGCTAACAGAACCGTCTGCAATGTATGACAGTAAACTAATCTTATAAGAAAAACTCGTTTTTCTTTTTCAAAACCCTCTCGAACTGACTAATTAAAATTTTTGATAGATTTTTCAAGATTGGAAGCTAAAAAGATTTCCTTCAACGCACTCCTAAAAATTAAGGAACTTAGCTCAAGCGGCTCTGGATTTGATTTACAGATTGTGATTTACTTGCAGATCACCACAAATGTTTATTCTTAAAAAAATTTAAATCTTGATATTAAATTTTTAAAAAAATCTACAATACAAAATTAAAGAGGAATTTTTTTAATAATGATATTTTTTTCCAATATCCTGAGTTAAATCAGAGAACGGACGAAAATTGTGCATATAAGAAAAAGAAGAAAAAAAATTAAAAAATTACGAAAACTAAATTCTCGATAAATGTTGTGAAATTTATTTAAAATTTTCATTAAAATCGATAAAAGTTTAGCTGTAAGTACTAAAATTTAAAAATTTTATGCTAATTTTTTAAAAATGAAATAAAACAGTAACTAAAAGATTCAAAAATTTCTCCCTTGAAAAAACGTACCTTTAAAAAAATCCATATACTTAAGCAATCCTAACAAAAACATTTTTGACCGGTAATAACAAGTGCTTTAATTAATGATTAATTGCAATTCTTCGTCTCATTTTTTCTTTATCCGTTTATTGTTTGTATAATCTCAGTATCTAGTGATTTTTGTGCTTGTTATTTTGATAAATTTTTAAAAATTCGAATTTTCAAAAATTGTTTTTTTTTTTTTTTTTTTTTTTTTTTTTTTTTTTTAAATTTAAAGTCAATCTTTCGGCATAAAAATGGAAATTTTCCTTTCTATAAATTTTTTTGTTTAAGGTTTGAGAAAAAGTGTAATTTTCTTATTTTAAATTTATCATAAATATATGTTTTTTATTATGGTATACAATAGAATTATGTAATGTTGCTAAATTTCATGGGAATTTTCCTATCTGTAATGTTTTTGCTTAAGGTTTAAGAAAAGCCGCAATTTCTTATTTTAAATTTATTATATTTTATGATTATGTGTTTTTTATTATAGAATGCAATATCATTGTGAATGTTGCTAAATTTTATTGGGGTAACAAAATATCGATGACAATGTAGAAATAAGATTTGTGAGGGAAATATCGTAATATATTTTTGACAGTGCATCTTGATATTTGTACTCATTATTTATGGGTGTTAATGCTGTGCGGATAACAACTCAAAAAAGGAGTCGCATAGTCTTTATAACCAATAAATTAGAGGTGAGAGTTTTTCCAAACGTACGTAAATCATGTATTTGAGTACTCACATTCAAAACTTAAATCAGTTAAGTCTCAATATTAAAGACAGAAAAGTCCTTAATTGCAAAAAGAATCGTCCGCCTAGGCTTAAAAAAGTTAAATAGAACTAGTTGACAAGCTAAAGTACATTTTGATTACCAAATAAATGTAAAGACGTACTTTTTAACGTAAATACTAATTTACTTAATTATTTACTTCTTGAGCAGCGCCATTGAATCTAGAGTTTTTGTTCATCGTTTACTTTTTGCTTTACATCTCGCTTTTAACTTAAAGAAGTCTGTAACAGTTCGTTTTGTTTTAAAAGAAAAATCCTTGCAGATGAAATGAATTAGATCACTGAATTAATAACAGCAAATAAGCGCACAGCTTGATTTTGTCATACTTGCTAATTCGGTTTATTAGTCATCAATGGCACCTGCGAGAAAATTAACATAATCTAAAACTTCATTCGATTCCTAAAAATATACGGTATGAAAATTACGTTTGCCATGTTTCAAGCACTCAAAAATAGGAGCCCATTATCGAGACTTGCAGGCGTGAATGAAGAAACAAAAGTGATTAGAAATAAAAACGTAAAGTTGCCAATGAAAAATTTGAAACTTAAGCTGGAGCCGTGATGGCTCAGGGGATAGAACGCTCGCTTTCCAAAGAGGCGAGCCGGATTCGAATCGTAGTCGATACGAATTCCGCATCCGGCTTGCACAGACCTCAGTGCTGACGTAAAATATCCTCAGTGGTAGACGGATCAGGGGTTAGAGTCCCCTTGCCATCAGACTAACCGTGGGAGGTTCTTGTGGTCTTCCTCTTCACGTAACGTAAATGCTGGTTAGTTCCATCATAAAGTCCTCCACGAAAGCAAATTTCTCCCACTACTTGATCCAGGAGTTCCCTTGTCTTCTGGATTGCGTTTAAAATTACAAGGCTACGGAGTTGAACGTTAGTAGCCGTAAGCAAAAAAAATTGGGTCAACTGTTCAACGACGGTGATAAAAAAAAAAAAAAAAAAACATAAGCTGAAAAACAAAACATGAAAAATCACAGTAGCTGAGACAGAAATAAGATGTAACATAGAAAAAGAAAACCAACAGTGTCCGCAAGGAGCTAATCAGGGTCTATGTAAGTTGATTGTGTAAAGCTAAGCACAGATGGAGCTAGAGACAATTATAATTATAATCCTTTTGGGGAGGATTTAAAAAAAAATTTCCAGCGGACTTCTTGTAATTCGTTATACAGTCAAGCCCCACTATAATGAACCTTCAAGGGACCGAAATTTCGGTTCACTATAACCGGGAGTTCGCTATATCCGTACTGCAAACAATTAAGACTAATTTTTCTGAACTGCTCCCTTTTATTATTTTATGTATGTGGAAATTTCAAAATTATCTAAAAATAAAGAAGAAAAAAATCAGTCGAAGACTGAAAAAAGTTCCTAATATCCAATTTCCTCTCTTCTTTTGGTTTATATCTACAAAAAATAATATTATATGTGCATAGCAAGACACGGGAGCGAACATTTTGTTCACTATATCCGGGAGTTCACTATAAACCATATTCACTATAACGGTGTGAGACTGTATATTAATTTTTTATTGCATTTCTTTACTATTTGAAGAATAATTAACAGAACTATTAAATGTTGCTAATACACACATTTTCTTTCTTATTAATAGGCTTTGTGGATACTTTTTTTCTTCGTGAGTTTGGTTCAAGGTAATGACAACCGATACTTGGTTGAGTCAGAAGAGAAATCAAATGATCAAGAGGCCTACGAAAGCTACAACTCCCCAGTCATTGGTGCAAAATCTGGAAATTATGCTCCAAAATCAGGTTACCCGCTCCCTCCAACTGTTCCAGCAGGATATTCTAATTACCTTTCAGGATTAGGCTACGGTTACGGCCTCTCTCCTTACAGCCGATACGGTGTCATGCCATCTCCATATCTTAATTACGGAAGTCCATACAACGCACTCCCCTACGGCTATGGTGCAGGTTTGAACTCAGTCCTAGGTACCGGCTTGGGTCTTGGAAACCCTGTTTTAGGTAACCAAATTCTTGGAAACCCAGGATATGGTGGTTTAGGTTACAGATTTGGTGGATTGGGTTACAATGCTGCTTACTTTAGAGCACCTGGAGTTCCAGCACCACTTCCCTCTCCTTACGGCGCTGCTCCAGTACCTGCTGGTCTAACAAATGGTGTTCTACCATTGCCAGCGTCTTATGCAGGAGCTGGAGTACCCGTTCCAGGCCCAGCAGTAGCAGGTAGACCTCCAGTAATAACTACCCAAGGAAAAGATGGTTCTCTAAGATATGCGTATTCTCCTCAAAGAGTTCCTGGTTACTAATCTTAAACGTGAGTATCATGTTTTACATAACTTGCATGACACAAAAATGTATCTCTGTATTGATCTGCTTTAATATGTATCTGCAGGAAGTGAGAAAATACTCAAATGCTGCACTTTGTAAAGTCTAATGCGATAAACTGCACTGGAAAGTACTTAAAATTAAAATTTTATTCCTTTAAAATTAGGATAAAATTTATTAATGGAAAAAGGAAAAATACTGCACAGTAAAATTAAAGTATTTTCGATTTCAATTATCTTATTTTATTGATGTAAAACATGCAAAAACAATTTAAAAAATTCAACTCAACACTGGGTAAATTAACTCATTATAAAACCAGTTTTTTCTAGTGATTAATAGATTTATGAAAAGCTATACATTTAGTTTATTTAAAACTTATTGATTCTTAAAACATCGTTTTTTTCTCTTTTTGGCAGAAAGAATTTGATGGGATTTTTACCCTCTTGCTGTAAAGAATAGGCCATAAATTTAAACTTCTACGTTTATAATTTACCGAATTCATAAATTCTGTGAATATACAAATCCGTAAACAATAAGCATTCCATCCTTTTCCCCCTCTATCAAAATATAAATAAAACTCCAGAGCGCTTACATGAAATCAAATTAAAAAAATAAATAAATAAATACTCGGAACCGAATAGTTAAACGTCTGTGATACGTTATTCGAAATTATAAAGGACTTAAACCGCCATTTAAAATCGTTTTAAAATTTTTATAGTTTACCAAATTTAAAAATTCTTTGAATACACAAATCTATATCCAAAATCTAAATAAAACTAAAGAGCGTTTACTTGAAATCAATTTAAAAAAATTAATCGGAACCGAACAGTTGAACGCTTGTGTTACGTTATTCGAAATTATCAGGAATTTCAACAGTCATTAAGTATCGTTTTAAAAGTGAAAGAAACCGTTCCAAATTGAAATCACGTTCGTATAATTATTGACTGTTGGAGACGCAAATGCTCATCTCGTATGGTGGGCCGTAAGAGGAGAATCACGTCCTCACGTATATTTTGATTACAACCCTGAAAGGGTTAAAGTGGTACAAAACTGCAGTAATCTTCATTTCCTTCCATTTTAACTAATCTTAATTTTTTTTTTCACATTTTAGGCGCCAAAAGTTGGAAGTTGGAGTGATGACTGCAACAGGATTGTATTTTCTCAATTGCTTGAGATTTTTTTTATACTTCAAAGTACTGTTATTTATAAATAGATTTGTAACACTTCATACATTGTCACCATTACGTTACATTGTATTTAGTACCAACACGTGCATTGTATGTAATATTAATTTATGTAAGCAATTTAACAAACAGTTATTGTTTTTCAAAAATAAGTAACAATTTAATTAAATTTTAGTTTTTCTTGTTTTTAATTTTTATTTACAAAAATATCATAAAAAATATTTTGTAAAATATAACTATAGAATTGAAATTCATATTTTATTGGGTTTATCAATAAAAAAGCACTCCATTTTTCTAATTATGATTTCGTTTTGCTTTTGTTTGTGTCTTTTAATTGGAAATCAATGTTTAACTATCAATAATTTTTTTACCGTTCAAAGATACATATGACAAGATATAACAACATTTTAACTATTAAAAAAAGAAAAATATAAACCTCAGTAAAAGTTATAAAATATTGCATAAACAGATTTTGTATTAATGTAGAAAGAAAAAATAACATTAAGTGATAAATATAGAAAGTTAATAGTTATTAACTACTTCAGTAATAATTTAGCTAATAATTATTTATGTAATAAGAAATTTTTTTTAACAATAATAAAGTCAAAACAGAGAAAAAGAATTATTAAATCAAAATAAAGAATAGAATAGAGAAAAAGGATGATTTTGTGTTTATTATTTCAAAAACTTTATTCTTCACATGTCGTGAATTTAGCCGTTCGAAGCAGTGTGAACGATCTGTCATATCACGCATGCGCAATAGAATCTGAATTTTCCCTCAAGTTTTAGATTAGATTCCTCACCTGCTACTGTTGCGTTAAAAACGCATCTTTTGTATTCTAAATTTTAAATGTTGTAAACTATTAATAAATTGTGCTTGTTATATATAAGAGTGTTTATTCCTTAAACCCCAGAGCTATGGAACAGCACATCACATTTTCGATGAATATCAGAGTTTATAACATTGTACACTTAGTTTTGAAGACTAATTAATTCTAACACATGATCCGTCTACCATAAAGGATATTTCGTGAATTTAGAGTTGAGTAACTTTCAGATATTATAAAATATACCATAATAAAACACAAGATGCTAATTAAACATTTAAATAATAAATGTATTATTAACTCAATTGACTTACTAATCATAACCTTTGAAACAATCGGTATGATATATATATATATATATATATATATATATATATAACGTCGTTGCCGAGTGGAAGGATTAAAACAGGTCTTAGGTCATAGGTCGGGAAGGAGGGGTACAAAATTTATTTATTATTAGACAAGAGCAGTCATGAGAATGAGTAAAAGTCACATGAAAAGTTGCGCTCCTTGGTTATATGTTAGGGAAAATCTTGCAAAGTAAAATCCGTAAAATGTCTTAATTTAGGGAAAGAGGGAAATCTTAGTAGTTGCTATTGGTTTATGAGATAGATCGAA